GGCATCAAAGCGGCTATTATGCGGGACCCGGAGCCCGCCGGCCGCCCCTCCGCCGGAGGGCGCTGGAAGTGCTTTGCGCCGGCCGGCAGCCCCCTCCGCTTCTCCCCGGACCTCGGCAAGTCCCTTCCCGCTCGATCGAGAAAACCGGACGGTCTTAGACTCCTCCGGGCGGTTGTGAGGACCAAATGCGGCCCAAGCGCCAGACAGTAAGCGCTCTATCCACCGAGGCGGGCACCGCACGGGCGCCCTTTGCTTCCTAAATCAATTAGGATGAATTCGGGTGTCTGTTCATAGAATCGCTGCCTGGGCATCCTTCAGGCACCGGGCACTCCGCACTGTGCACCCGTCATCGCATTCCCAGACTCGCCCAAACAGCCACCTTCTACAGATGAGAGGGCGGGAAGCTGAGGCCGGGGTGCTGTCCACCGGGGTCAACCCGGAAGAGTAGGGATCCGGGTGCAGGAGTGGGGGCGGGAGCCAGGGTGATGGTGGAGTCTGGTGTCCAGGTCAGGACAGCCCGAGTGAAAGGGGGCTCTCCTAATATTATGTTGGGGATAAAGGCATGAAGGACAGTCCTGGCAAATAGCACACCTGGCCAGTGGCAATGGCCCTGTCGCACACACCCAGTGTGTCTCGGGATTAGATCCAGAAAGTCTCTTTCCACCAAAAGGTGCCTCCATATGGATGGAAGGAGTGGGATTCTGGGACCCGACGATGGTGTCCTTCTTTAGAGGGGGTGGGGGTGGGAAGTGGCCAGGCTGCCCCCAGGAGGGCTGAGCAATGGGATGCGGCTGAAGTCAGCGCAGCAGTGGGGACAGACGGTCCCAAGACAGCCGCAATGAAATGGCGGTGCACACGGCACACCCTCACTCCTCTGCCAGGTCAGCCCTAGGGTTTGGATCCCGCCAAGCCCTTATGACTTTGACCTTTGGAGCCTGTCCCTGGTCTGCAGAGTGGAAGAGACAAGGACTTCCCACTAAATGGGGGATCTCAGAACTTTGGTGTTTGCTGGGTGTACTCAGCAGACCGTAAAAGCTTGGATGGGAGAAGGGCTTAGGATTTACAGCCCTTGGTGGGTGGCTGATCTTCACTCTGGTGGCCAGAAAGGGGAACTGCCAGAGAACAGGGCCCCCACAATGCCGTTCTCAGTCTAAGGTCAGGCAGTGGATTGCCCTGGCCAGTCGAGCTGGCTGGCCCTGGTGAGCCATCCTGCAGGGACTACCCCACCTTCCATGCTCGGCTGCTGGGCTCCATTGCTGGCCAGATGTCCTGCAGCTGCCACATTCCACACAGCACAGCCCCACCTCTGCATGCACCGGGCAGATGGACTGCGTGAGTCACGAGATGTCAGGCCTGTGGTGCGTCAGTGTTCCCCACCCGCCGGGCGCTCACTGGGGCTTTGCTCAGCCCCATGGCTGCTGTGGGTGAAGGTTCAACAACATGGGCAGACATCAGAATGCTGTGTCCGTCAGCAGAGGAACTGGGGGGAGAAAGGGCACCAGAGCCTGTCCCAGAGGCCTCAGAATACCCACCTCCTTGGTACCACTTACCCCAGACCTCAACCACCAAACGCACGGCACAGAAGCAGCCCCTCCACCTCCCCCACCTGGAAACCCACAAAGTCCCTACTGGCCCAGCTGAAGAGTATCCAGGCCAGTCTCTCCCCACTGACGCCTTGAATGAAGGGTCTCTGTGGAGACCTCTCCTGTGAGCACATCCCCCACCAGGTGGGGACGAGGCATGGGCGAGCTCTCATTGCGTGGCCTTGGGCCAGAGCAGGGGACGGGGCCGCCTTGTGCTGGTCTCCCTGGAAGCTGGAAGTAGGGCAGTCCAGCTTGTGTCCTACAAGCATTTAACCTGATGACAGGTGAACCTGGGGGTCATGGTGGTGAGGGCTGGTAGGGCTGTCCCTTTACTCTCAAGGGCAGGAAAGGCCGAGAAAGCTGCCCTGCAGAGAGAAGATGGGTGAACATGGAGAGAAGAGCAGAGGTTGAGACGGGAGAGTCGGAGCGGGGAAGAGGGAAGCCAGCTGCCCATTGTGCTGGGCCTGAGCTGTCTCCAAGGCCTGGCAGCATTTCCCACGCAGGGCTCCCAGAGACTCTCTCAACAGTTCTGTTTCTGCTTAAACCAATGTGAAAGGGGCGTGAGCCTTATGAAGGAGCACACTCCAGAATCCCACCCCATTCAGCCCTGCCCTGTAAACCCCAGGCTGTTGCCCATCGTCTTGCCTGGAATGTTCCCTCCACCGACCCTCCACCCTTCAGGGCCCAGCCCAAAGCCCTCCTCCTCCTCCTCGCTGCTGTCCCCCCCTGCTCCTTGCTGGGGTGAGCGACACTTCGGTTTCAGTTGTTTCCTGCCTCGGTGTTTCCAGCCCGAACCAAAGGCCAGCTGAGGGCTCTCTGCACCATCCCTCAAACTCTCCCAGCCCTTAGACTTTCCAGGTAACTCCCCAGAGCAGAGAGGATGGGGTCAGTGCCTGTGGTCACAGCATCCCAACAAAGCCCCCAGTGGGAAGGCAGCGGCAAAGCCCTGAGCTCAGTGTCGCCACCTTCGCGCACTGCTGCGTGAGGTCAGGAGTCGTGAGGCCCTCCTGCAGCCTATGGGGGAGTGCCGTGCAAGCACCCACAGCCAGGGCCGTGCTGCCCACGACACGACACGACACGACACGACACGACACGACACGGAGAACAAAGGCTCACCACTCAGCTCAGGAAAGGGTACTTTATTTCCGCAGGTAGAACTGGTCCTTGCTGCCACCTCTTCCCCTTGACAGAGGCAGGGTGTGTGGGAGGGCTGGGCCTGCAGAAGTGCTTGCCTTCCTGAGTCAAGGCTGGAGGCCACCCAAAGGAAAAATGCCAGGGAGTCCTGGGCAGAGGCTTGGCCATGGGGGAGGGACTCCCGGTCATGACAGACTGGAATGGCAGCCAGGCTTCCACACCTCTGTGCCTTCCTTGGGCAGGTGGGGCTGCAGGGCTGGCTTAGACATGTCAGTCAAAGGCCAACTGGGTGAGTAGGGGACAAAGGGGCCTCCCAGTAGCCTATTTGAGCCCCACCCAGGCCTTCTCAGGCCTGGCTCTTTGGACAGATCACAGGCTGAAAGGGGCACAGGCCCAGGATGCTGGCAAAGCCATGACACCCCTGCTGGCCTTGTAGGCTGCACCATGGGCATAGGAGTCCCTGGGCCTCAGAGTCCTCTGCTGAGAACCCTCTAGGACCTTGTGTTACTTGGCATGCCTGACTTCTCACCTGGGTAGAGTGCCCAGTGACGGGAGCGTGGGGGCTGCGGTAGGCCAGAGGGCAGCTCCAGGACTACGGACTCTAGCTCTTGTGGAACCCACCCAGATGTGTGCAGATGTGGCCCTTGGCCTCCCGGTGCCACTTCTGCTTGGGAGCCTGCTACCTGGAGCGAGAGGGCACATTAGCACAATGGGCATTTAATGTGGCATAGGTTGCCGAGTGATCAGAGGGTCCAGCACACAGCTGGCTCTCAGCAGCAACTGAACTGACTGCCATACGTGTGCATGCATGGAGGGACCTGTCCACACATGTTGCATGTGTTACTGACATGAGGGTGTACACGTCTGTGCATGTACTGGGCACTGGTACAGAGGTACACACTGGTAGGGTTGTGCACAGTGGCCACCTGGTGGAACGTGTTTACACACAGCCGGCAGGGAGATGGGGCAGCCTCAGAAGGACTGAATGTCACACCAGGGAGGGTACAGAGCATCAGGCTCTGGTGGGTGTGCCTGGATGGGCACGCCTGTAGGGGTGTGCATGTTGCATGCCCTGGGCTCTGTAGACAGCAGGTAGGAGAGTGTGCCGGGGTCTGGACAGCCTCACTGCCAACTGGCACAGTTCTCAGGCAGGCTGTGCAGAATGGCCTCCAGGTTCTGCTTGTCAGCGCGGATCTCAGCCAGGTCGTTCTCGAAGCCCTGGATCTGCAGCTCCTGCTGCTCAGACTCCTGCTCCAACAGACTCAGTTTCCCCTGCAAGTCTCCCCCTGAACTGAGCTGCAGCCTCAGGCGTTCCAGTGCCTGCTGGGTCTCATTCAGGGCCTGGGCTGGGGCCTGAGGGGTGTCCAGCGACCCTGCAGAGGGACACAGGTAGCCCTGGCATGAGCCAGCTCCCCTGCAGGCCCTAGGAACCTGCTCAGGCCCCTCCCCAAGACTCTCCCAGCTCAAACCTCCCAGGATTCCCACTGCCCAGCATCCACCAGAGAAAGGGACCAAGAGGGCTGTGTGAGGAGGAGGTGGGGGCCTGGGCATCCCAGGGGCCTCACTGTAGACACCACAGGACAACTGCTAACTTGTCGATGGTATCACTACTGTTGTTAAAAGAAAGTCTCAAGCGAGGCCCCTCTGAGCCCTGCGTCCTCATCCACAGAGCTGAGAGAGGGAGTGGAGGTCTCCACCTCTGTGAGCTCGAACCTGCTGCAGCGGTTCACCACGAATGTGTTTATAGAAGCCACCTGTGCACCAGAATGTGGGTCACCCAGGAAATCGGCAGGCTCTCTGCTTCGGAGGGAGGACTGGGGACCGAGCTTGTAGCCTAGTGGTTAAAGAAGCCAGATACTACACGGCTGACTGCAGTTTGTGTCCCTGCTTCGAGGGCTTGTGTGTATGCATGTGTGTATACATGGCATGTGTGTATGCATGGCATGTGTATATGCGTGTGTGTATGCGCGCCCCAAGTCCCAAAAGGGTGGAGAATGGAGAAGGAATGCCCCACTAGGAGTGACTTTTTCCTGCCTTCTCTCTCTGGTGAGTGTGCGTATTTTCTGGCAATTAAAAAAAACAAAGAAGGAGGGCCGCAGAGGCAGAGCAGGAGGGACTACAAGCTGCGAAAGCTACAGCAGGATTCTAGGTCCGGGTCTCACAGGGATCAGCAATCGATCACGGGGTTCAGGACTGCCCTGAGCCTCTCCATGACCCAGACAAGGGGGGGCAGGTACTCACATCAGAACTTGGTGGTGGTGGCAAGGAGGCCACAGGCTGCCTCCCCCACCCGACCCTTGTCATCTTGTCACTAAGTGTGGCATTCAGCAGACAGCTTGGCCAGGTGGGAGAGTGGTGGGGATGGGAAAGGAAGTTTCAAGTGGCTTCTAATTCCCGGGCCCTCAGGTGTCCCAAGGCCCTGAATTTCCTGGGCAAGGAAGGAGTGTCTTTTGCCAGAATTTTAAAGCATGCATGTTGTTGATTCCAGGCCCGCTGCTCTGACGGCTGTCTGCCTACCCCCCGACATCAGGCCTCTGGGACCCCTGTGCCTAGGTGCCCTTCCTTTCACCTGAAATGCCTCTTTGGTAAGACCCATCTGGAACTGGATCCCCTTTCGAAGCAGCGCCATGTTGACTCTCACCGTATCCTGCACTACACAAGCACGTTCCCATTGCCCACTGGTACTCCCACTTCGCAGACGGGGAACCGAGGCTCAGAAAGGTGTAATGACTTATCCACGGTCTTATGGCCAAAAAAGGGACAGAGGCAGGGCTGAATCCTGGGTTGTTTGAACTCAAGCCAGAACCAATGCCACGCTTGCTCTGTGCCGTTCTCGCCTATCCCTCACCTGCTGGGCACTGACTGCTCACTCGGAACCCACTGAGGGTCACGTGTGCTGAGTTTTCTGTCTCTCTCTCCCACCAGAGGCCCCAGGAGGCACAAAGAGCTATTCAACGTGAACTTGCTTCTGGGTACCAACCCTGCCTCAATGGGAGCCTGGGGTGGTTACAGATACTTGTGACTGACCACGAGGACGGAGGTGGGGACAGCTGTTGGCGATGACGGGGGAAATCCCCCAGGACTGGCTGTCCAGGACAGGACAGGAAGATCAAGGTGTTCTAGGGACCCGGGAGCTCAGGGCCCAACCACGAGGACTCCTCACCCAGCCCAGAAAGTAGCTCTGACAAGGCCCTGATGTCTTCCTCTAGAGAGATGCGCGACTCCCGGATCTGCCGCTCCATCTCGCTCAGCCCGGCACCCACCTGTGGGGAGGGAGATACAGCTTGAGCAGCTCCCTCGTGCTGCCAGGAGCACAACAAATGGGCAGGGGCCTTGGCACACGCACCTGCTCGGCTTCTTCCAGCTCCTGTCTGCGTGCCTTGGAAGTCAGCGCCTGCCGGGTGGCCTGTCGGAGAGTGGCTTGCGTCTGGCTGGTGAGCCGGCTGGCACGGCGGTGCCCCTGTTTGCCCTCCCTCAGCAGGGCCTTGGCAAGCTATGGGGTGGGCGGCAGCAGCAAGTGGGGGGGGAGTGCAATGGACAACTGCTAACTTGTCGATGGTATCACTACTGTTGTTAAAAGAAAGTCTCAAGCGAGGCCCCTCTGAGCCCTGCGTCCTCATCCACAGAGCTGAGAGAGGGAGTGGAGGTCTCCACCTCTGTGAGCTCGAACCTGCTGCAGCGGTTCACCACGAATGTGTTTATAGAAGCCACCTGTGCACCAGAATGTGGGTCACCCAGGAAATCGGCAGGCTCTCTGCTTCGGAGGGAGGACTGGGGACCGAGCTTGTAGCCTAGTGGTTAAAGAAGCCAGATACTACACGGCTGACTGCAGTTTGTGTCCCTGCTTCGAGGGCTTGTGTGTATGCATGTGTGTATACATGGCATGTGTGTATGCATGGCATGTGTATATGCGTGTGTGTATGCGCGCCCCAAGTCCCAAAAGGGTGGAGAATGGAGAAGGAATGCCCCACTAGGAGTGACTTTTTCCTGCCTTCTCTCTCTGGTGAGTGTGCGTATTTTCTGGCAATTAAAAAAAACAAAGAAGGAGGGCCGCAGAGGCAGAGCAGGAGGGACTACAAGCTGCGAAAGCTACAGCAGGATTCTAGGTCCGGGTCTCACAGGGATCAGCAATCAATCATGGGGTTCAGGACTGCACTGAGCCTCTCCATGACCCAGACAAGGGGGGGCAGGTACTCACATCAGAACTTGGTGGTGGTGGCAAGGGGGCCAAAGGCTGCGCCCCCCCCCCC